AAATGTAACAAATATTTAAATACGAAATAATGAAATATATATATATCCTAGTAAAATGGACTATCCGTAAAATAAATTAAATCATGAATAGTATCACAAAATATTGTTGTGACTAAACTGTGAACAACCCTGATGCGTGTTTGTGATTATGATTAAATGTCTATGAAGAATAAAATGAAATTTAAATGTAAAAAATCCCCTGGTATACCAAGTTCACATACGATCGTATATTTAATGTAATAAATTTTAATCAATCATAAACGCAATAAAATAAGAGATTATTAAAGTCTTATCTGTCATCCAGTGATCGTTCCAGTCAGTCCATGAGAAAATCCAGATTGCTGGTCTTCAGTGTCACAGTGGCATTCCTCGTCACAGTGGCATTCCTCGTCACAGTGGCATTCACGTCACAAGGACATTAGTTTCAGTACCAAATCCAGTACAAAAAAAAATTGATAAAAATCTTAAACTAAACCATAATCATCACTAAGAGCCAAGGAACAAGAACCCTAAAATGTGATCTATTTTAGTGACACGTTCTAGTTTGGACATAGTAAAATACCTTTCCACCATGCGGACCTTCCAAGACAAGATGGCGTCTCAACGCATGTTACTCCATGGAAAAGGGTTCCTTAACTGTCCTCGTACTCATCCCAGTACGTCCACGCACCCATCTACAACTCCTGTCCTCTAAAATAAATAGTTGTAGAAGAGAACCTTACACCTAAGAATGTCTCTTACCCAACCAACAAAGATATCCCTTTTCAAGGTTTCCCCAGAATTCCAACTACACAGGCCAAGCTCAATTTCTTGCCAATCTGTCTTCTCGACCCTCAATGAATTCCAAGACCGTAATTCTACTGAACAATCCCAATATGGAACGGCGACCAGCCAAAATTTCACTAGAATTTCTTTTATGTTCGGCAGAGATCAGAAGGCTTCCCTTGCTTTCACCAAGATGGTTCAAAGTCGAAAAAGGACGCGTGTTTGCAAAATCCGCAAAAGACGCTGGACTCCAAGATACCAACACAAAATCCAACACTGGCAACCAGTAAAACAAAAGACCTAAAATAAAATTTGATGTAAAATTTTTATTTAATGCATACGGATTGAGTGAAACATTTTATTACATCATAATAAAATTATAATAATCCCTATATGAACATAATATCTTCGGAAAATTATTAATACATTTTCCGATCATATATAAAACCGTTTAAAAAGATCGAAAACCTAATTTACAAAGACTCATCTGTCAAACTTCAACGTCGGTGTCAAACGATCAGCTGACAACAATTGAAACGTCAATCTGTAAATCGTAATATAAACAAGATGAAATTTAGGGAAAAATCAACTATAATCAGGTAAAATCAATTGATTACACACAGGAAATATACATAATAAAAATCTTTAACCCCTAGTATATAGCAGACCCAACATTCCCACTTGTTGCGTTGAAAACAGACAAAAGATAATCACATCAAGTCTATGTTCAAGAATCCTCCGAAGAAATATGCCAAGAAAATTATCCTAACACAAGCATAAGTCTAAATAAAGAATTAGTAACCACTGTAGAAAGAAAGGTAGGTTTTAAACAGACAAATTGATATTTTATTAATGAGGTTTTATATTACAGTTATCGGAGACAACTCCATCCCAAGAAATTGTTGTGGTGAAGAGATTTAATAGATAAGATATTATTAGAAGTTATATGTACAGTTAAGAAGTAAGCTAATTAAACGTTATTATTCAAGTTATTCAAGTAAGTTTAGTTTTATTCCTAAAAATAAGCAAAATAAGTAAAATAAGTTACGGTGAAATTTTAAACCGTAACACCCCACCTTTTCTTCCTTTTTTTTAAAGAAACGAAATTTCTTTAAAAACAGCGAGTTACTACCAACTCAATGAAAAATATATATACATCCTAAAATCTAACCTGGATCTGGTTTCAAATCTTTTACGTGCCAATTCCCAATCGATACACCACGGTCATCCTGAAGTTCATAAACACAATATCCAACTTTCTTACGAACTTTGTAAGGACCACAAAATTTCCCAGCCAATTTTGCTGCAAAATAATTGTCTCTAAGTCATTTGTCCCTAAGTCAGTTTGTGACTCGATAGAATTTAAAACTGGTGTATTTAGATCTACATCAGAGAAATACCATTCTCCTTTCCTAACATCTGGAACTATTCCCATTCTAATCCAAAAATCTATTCCTAAAACTAACTTATGTCTTAATCCCGGAAATATATATACGTCCATAATTTTAACTACATTACGTAACCTAAGTGGAATTGTAACTACCCCTAAACATTGACATTGACTATCATCAGCGACACGACAAAGTAAATTTGCAGATTGATTTAATTTAATGCCTAAATTCTTAATCATTTCGTATCCCTCTAAATTCATAAATACTTTATTAGCACCACTGTCTAATAAACCATAAAAAGATAAACCTAAAATTTCAACTTTAGCATACGGACATTCACCTTCGCCGACTTGAGCTAAAATGTAATCAAGAACAACTTTACCTTTAAAATCTTTGACCGGACTGTCAACAAAAGAGGCGGTGGGCCGATCAACTACCGTCTCTGCGTAGCGTTTCCCGAACCAGAAGTTCGTGTGTTTTGGTTGTTTCGAGATGATTCAGATGTACTAGGCTCATTACGACTTCGAGAATTCCTATTTGGATTGCAATTAGGACACGAATTCTTTGTGAAACCCTCTTTACCACATCCAAAACAACGAAAATCGTGTTTCCTTTTCGGACAATCTTTCGCAAAATGCCCCGGAGTTTTACATCTCCAACAAGTTTGTTCTCTAATTTGAATTTCATTGACAGTTGGACGGCTTTGTCTCGGACTACCCTTGTAAGCTAAATCAGGTTCTAAAGAAAGTGACGACAAATTAGGCGGCTTAAAATTATCTACAGATTCACGAATTTCCTCGATTTTACGACATAGTTCAATAAGTTCGAAAGGTGATCTAATTTCTGTTAATGCTAATCGTTCCTGGAAGAATGGCAAAATATTTCGACGCAAAACTTGCATACGCAAACTATCTGACACATGTGTAGGCATTCTATCAAATAAACTCGTCATAATAGCTACATATAGACCTATCGACTCGGAAGCACCCTGAGTACGCGAAAGAATTTGTTGCCATAGTTTATCTGCGGATGGAACATACTCTTCCTTCATCAACTTAATCAAACTATCCCAATCACTCGCATATCTCTTAAACCAGTTGTACATTCTCAATGCATCGCCTGCGAAAAGATCTCTAGCTGAGCTAAACAAATTTGCTTTATTAACATTTCTACTAATGCAATGTTCCTCTACCTCTTCTAAAAATGAATTAAAACTTTCAGTAGGTAAGCCCGAAAATTTAATTTGCCACTTATAAACAGGTACCGTAAAAGAAGAATTAACGTTAAAGCTATTATTTAAATTTAAATCATTATTAGGTATCGGTGGAACACGCGGTGACGACGTAACAGGTGGTGGAGAATGCGTTTCTGTATTTCCAGAAGTACTAGGTGGTATGTCTTGAAGGCGTAAATCTGTAAGTACATTTTGTTGTACAGGTTTTAAGGCTAAGTTTTTACTATTATATACAGAAATCATTTCCATCAAACCCTTACGAAGCACGGCACGCTTGCACATAAGATCTGGATCATCAGAAGTAATTCGTTCTAATCTATTATACGTATGACATATCTTTGTCTCGACCCGTCTAACCTGCCCTACAGAACCAGAGAATGTCGTTAAAAATTCCGTAATATCATTCAGCTTAGTCTGACAAATATTTAACTCCTCAGAAGCATCTCCCTCAAAAGGAATAGGTTGGTTAAAAGAAGCATCTTTTTCAAGACTTAAAGCGCTACGAAGACTTTTCCTAAGAGCATCCACATTATCAGACTCGGCTATACCTCGAGATCGAAGTTCCCAAATAAGTTCATCTTTATGCAATCTGTCTACGTCTAGTTTGAAAGGCATTTTAATAGTCAATCAGTTTCACACAAAATAATATTAAAGTAGTTACCACCAATTTAAAAATAAATAACCAATGACACTATCTGCGACTGTGACTGAATTAATTCAATAATAATTTAAATCTGACACTTCCACTTAATCAAATTTCAAAATTCACTAAAGATTTAAAATTTTCAATCATTTATTTAAAATCAATACAATTTTTCCACCAGGCCCTGACACGTTTGTGCGCCAAAGTTTATAACGCCACCTTGGGTGAAAAAGTGTATAATGAGAACTCAGATTCACCAGGTTCCGTTACAAATAGGTTCCAGCTAGCTCAGTAAATAATTAAGTAAAATATATTTGCACAGAACAAGAGATATCCAAAGGGAGGTGTATGGAAAAAGTGTACTGATTGAAAAGTCCAAAATGTACTGGATTCGTTTAATAAATATTAAATTTAAAGTTAAAACAAATTACCAAGATCTATCATAAAATGTAACAAATATTTAAATACGAAATAATGAAATATATATATATCCTAGTAAAATGGACTATCCGTAAAATAAATTAAATCATGAATAGTATCACAAAATATTGTTGTGACTAAACTGTGAACAACCCTGATGCGTGTTTGTGATTATGATTAAATGTCTATAAAGAATAAAATGAAATTTAAATGTAAAAATCCCCTGGTATACCAAGTTCACATACGATCGTATATTTAATGTAATAAATTTTAATCAATCATAAACGCAATAAAATAAGAGATGATTAAAGTCTTATCTGTCATCCAGTGATCGTTCCAGTCAGTCCATGAGAAAATCCAGATTGCTGGTCTTCAGTGTCACAGTGGCATTCCTCGTCACAGTGGCATTCCTCGTCACAGTGGCATTCACGTCACAAGGACATTAGTTTCAGTACCAAATCCAGTACAAAAAAAATTGATAAAAATCTTAAACTAAACCATAATCATCACTAAGAGCCAAGGAACAAGAACCCTAAAATGTGATCTATTTTAGTGACACGTTCTAGTTTGGACATAGTAAAATACCTTTCCACCATGCGGACCTTCCAAGACAAGATGGCGTCTCAACGCATGTTACTCCATGGAAAAGGGTTCCTTAACTGTCCTCGTACTCATCCCAGTACGTCCACGCACCCATCTACAACTCCTGTCCTCTAAAATAAATAGTTGTAGAAGAGAACCTTACACCTAAGAATGTCTCTTACCCAACCAACAAAGATATCCCTTTTCAAGGTTTCCCCAGAATTCCAACTACCAGGCCAAGCTCAATTTCTTGCCAATCGGTCTTCTCGACCCTCAATGAATTCCAAGACCGTAATTCTACTGAACAATCCCAATATGGAACGGCGACCAGCCAAAATTTCACTAGAATTTCTTTTATGTTCGGCAGAGATCAGAAGGCTTCCCTTGCTTTCACCAAGATGGTTCAAAGTCGAAAAAGGACGCGTGTTTGCAAAATCCGCAAAAGACGCTGGACTCCAAGATACCAACACAAAATCCAACACTGGCAACCAGTAAAACAAAAGACCCAAAATAAAATTTGATGTAAAATTTTATTTAATGCATACGGATTGAGTGAAACATTTTATTACATCATAATAAAATTATAATAATCCCTATATGAACATAATATCTTCGGAAAATTATTAATACATTTTCCGATCATATATAAAACCGTTTAAAAAGATCGAAAACCTAATTTACAAAGACTCATCTGTCAAACTTCAACGTCGGTGTCAAACGATCAGCTGACAACAATTGAAACGTCAATCTGTAAATCGTAATATAAACAAGATGAAATTTAGGGAAAAATCAACTATAATCAGGTAAAATCAATTGATTACACACAGGAAATATACATAATAAAAAATCTTTAACCCCTAGTATATAGCAGACCCAACATTCCCACTTGTTGCGTTGAAAACAGACAAAAGATAATCACATCAAGTCTATGTTCAAGAATCCTCCGAAGAAATATGCCAAGAAAATTATCCTAACACAAGCATAAGTCTAAATAAAGAATTAGTAACCACTGTAGAAAGAAAGGTAGGTTTTAAACAGACAAATTGATATTTTATTAATGAGGTTTTATATTACAGTTATCGGAGACAACTCCATCCCAAGAAATTGTTGTGGTGAAGAGATTTAATAGATAAGATATTATTAGAAGTTATATGTACAGTTAAGAAGTAAGCTAATTAAACGTTATTATTCAAGTTATTCAAGTAAGTTTAGTTTTATTCCTAAAAATAAGCAAAATAAGTAAAATAAGTTACGGTGAAATTTTAAACCGTAACAGTATATCACATCGAGTAGAGTAAGACTGTTTAGATATTAGTAAGGTTTAGATTAGTTATTTGTATTCCGCCCTTAGAACATACTTAGTTTAAGTTAAGTGGGATGACGTCTTAGATTTAGTATAGCTTAGACCATTTTAATTTTTCATTTATTCTTATCGATTTAAACTTTACTTCATTTCACATACATTTACATCATTCTCTTTATACATTTAACCTTTTTGATATTTCAATAAATTGCTTAAATATTTTTAGTAGTATTATTTGCAGTCTGGTCTCATAGTTAAGTTAGAGTCACTTAAATTCAAGTAATTATAGTAATATTTGGAGTTCATGGTAGTTACACTCAACAGTTCGAGATTAGTGTTGAAGTCTACTTAATAGTAACATCTTTTATTCCGAGTTCATTGAGTATAATCTCGTGGCGCCCTTTTATTAAGATCTTTGAACCCCGACCACCCGGCTGTTAAAATTAAAAGCTAGTGGCCTCTATGCAACTCATCCACATTAAGTAAACTTTGTGTTTTATTGAACTTCGAATTAGAAAAGGACGCGGCAATAATGCCCCCCTAAAGTGCTTCCCAAAGGAGTTACAGCTCTCAAGAGTTAAATAAAAATACTATATTTCCTTTATTTTTAAGAACTTTGGTAAACCGTTTTTCTTTAAGAAATGGTAGAAATTTAGAGTGCATATTATCATTTTAAGCAAAAATGATACATTTAAAAATGTTCGTAAATTTAAATGCAAGTTAACTTAACAATTTTAGTTTGATGAAATTATAAGTTTCCATTTAAAAATCGTATTACTTTCTATTAAAGCAGGCAATTTTTATTTTAATATTAACTTAATTTTGAAATAAAATTATGGACTCTTAATATTAAATAATGATTTACTCAATTTGAAAATATAATTAGTTTTGGTTTAAAACGGTTGTTTGTTAATTCCAATGAAATGTAATTCTTAATACAAGAATTTCGTTTATACCTTGGATGAAACTTCATAGTGTATTCAGCCTCGCCGCGTAATATCTACATCATTGTCATCCTTTTAGTGCGAGGTGTTTAACAGTGATCAAACTTGGACGATTTATTTACGTCTTGGAATTTATAAAAGACATTTGCTGTTTCCAACACACATGCAATAATCTTTAGTTGTGAGTATTAGTGAGAGTAATGGCAGAGGTAACAGAAGGTAGCTCGGGGTACGTGGAATTTCTAGTTCTTCTAAATAAATGATGGGTGATGGAATAGAAAGTAAAATCAAAGAATGCTGTTGGTCTCAAAATATTAGTGAAAGATTTGAAGGTGAGTTTTATTATGTACCTATATCTATGGGTCTATTTCCTATTAAGGATTAAGGAATGCTTTATAAAATAGAGCATATTATTTTTTTTAAACAAGCATAGAGCTTAAGGTGAGAAAAAATCAATTCAATAAATTAAAATTACAAAAAAATCACCAGTCAACGGTTTCCAACATATAACAATTGAGCCCAATCCGACCCTGCCTTTCGCTAATTTGTTCGCCATATCCCAAAGCGGTTTTAATTCAATTAACATGCACGACGAATTAAGCGGAGCTTTACGATATCATACAGGTCCAACTTTTAATTTGGCCACTTATATCCCGGCAACTTAGGGCAATTAGATGAAAGGAAATATTCGCACCGTGATTGTTCTTAAGGTTCACGCGGGCTTTGCCCTTTTCAAAACGTGCCGCTCAAATTAACGACTATCTGTCAAGTATTTATTTCTATATTAAAGCCAAAATTTAGCTTTAGCAGCTTGGCTGAACGAGAAATTGAAACTGAAATTATTTTAGAGTAGGTAATTAAAGTAGAATAAAATCAGGGAGGCCTGTGGTTCAGTGTTTTGTAGGTGTACAACCGTAGAAACAAAATTGTCTTGCGATTAAGCTCAAAAAGTCTTCTGATTCGGAATTAAGAATTAAGGATCTTAATTTATTAAAACAACTGATTGTGGAATCAGAAGTCCCAACCCGACGCCGACGTTGATGTATTGTATTGTTTTGACGCTGATGTATTGTTTATATTTCGACTACTCTCCTTTCCGTATACCGTGTGCATCGGAATACGGGACATAGGAAAAAACATGTAAATTTTGAAAAGGTCAAATATTGTCCCCTCCATAATTTTATGAAAAAGTTGTATTAGACTTTTTTGAAGAGGCGTTAAAGTTGTACTTTTGTCTAGAATTTCGTTTCGTTTGGAATAGTCATTTAAAAGTTATTTGCAAGAAACTACCTTCAAAATACTACAATTTATAATACGGCCCAGGGGAAGCTTCAATTAAAATACCAGCAAAAATGTGATTGTGTTATTATCAAATTCGATGTCACATTTTGTTTACAAAAATTTGAAGGTACTGAATAATAGTAATTTTGTATAAAATAATTATGATTTTCGCAACTTCCGAAAAAGTTACGATCGTTAAACGGCAATTTGCTGGAAATTCCCGCTGTGTCAGTTCCGCGCAGCTCAGTCTCTGAAAAGTCTATAGCGAATAAGTCAACAATTTAAAGAATACGAAACTAAAGGCACTGAGGTATTAAGCATATTGAAGTGTTAGCACAACATACACAAGCACATTCCGCTTACAAAAAAATGATATTTTAAATATCAATCTAGAGTGCCGTGGCTGTGTTAAAAACACTAATTTTTAATCAATGAACTTTGGAAAAATAGATTTGATTATCTAATGTTTTCCGTGTCTTATCCTGGCCGGTTAAAAGATTCCCAAATTGTTTTTTAATCATATCTCAATTTTTTTAAATAGAACAAGGCTCATTACCATATTTGGAAAAAGCATTTTTTACGAATAATTTGGTACCATACACTTGGTATTTCGAGTCAATTTGTCATGAACCGCATGTTACAATTTCAAATAAACCATATGCAAAAATGTCAAAACTTGGCATATGATATGTCATTCTATTCAGAGTGTCATTTTCTATTGAATAAAGGAAAATAATACCGAAGATGTGATTTAAAAATCAAAAGTTGTAGTTATTTCCGGTGAAACAGGAAGCGACCAAAGACAATTGAATACGTCAATCAATCCTCATTTATGTCATATTCTATTATCATACCAAATCTCGTTTTTTTTATCTGAAAAAAAAAGTTATAGAGATGAGCCAGTTGAGACGCGTCCGGTATTTGTTTATACTTGCAATAGCTAAATAAAATACTAATTCACCATAATAAACCAAAACACTTTAGTTAGTTTTAATCATCTGCTAATGATGCTATCATGATTAGCGAAACACGTGTTCAGTGTTCAACGTAAAGTGTTTTGGTGTAACGTGGTGAATTAATGTTTTATTTTGCTAAATAATTTTTGAAAATACTTAAACTAAAATATTCTGATTTTATCTACTAATTACAATCAAAAATACTTCAATATTTTATGTTTAATATCAGTAAACATATGCCTCTTCTATTAAACTAAATATTTCTTTCAAACTTTCATTATTATATTGTCAAGGCTAAATAGAAATAAATTTGAAACGGCTTTGCATGAATAGAATTTATATAATCTATCACTGACGTATTCTGGGGGCATGAGCACAAAACCACAAATTTTGTTAAAACGACCTTTTACATTTCTGGCCTATCTCCGATGCCCTGGCGAGGTACGATCACAAAAAGAGCAGTAGTTTAAAAGTATTTTAGATCTTTAACAATGGCTAAAATGTATACAAATAGTGCCATAATGACGGAGGTAAACAGAGCTCTTGCGGTTTAGAATTCTACCGGGTTTTGTAGGTGGTCTTCGGCGGTTCTCAAAAGTTTTGAGAGAGAACGAACATTCACAATTATTAGTGGATTTGCTGAAATATATTGGGTTTTTTTACATTCGACTCTCATTATTGCAATCTCTGAAACGGAAGGGATACAGAATGAGTTAAAATTGAGGCAAAGTTGTCTGTTAAGCTT